AAATATCATCTTTTATTACTGTTACATGTATACAGTTTAATACAGTTCAGCTGTTCATATCGAAAACCATTTTTGAAGAACAACAATATAATATAAGAAAGGGTATAATAAAAAATCCACAATGCAGATTAAGTTGGTAAAAGTAAAAAACAATAGTCACTTTGTATGTCTTTTATTTTTAAATGAAAACACAATTCCGCTGGCTGCTATTGCTTACTGTACTTTGCCCAGCCTAAATAAGACTGCATTTTTAATGCACTTGATTCCTAAATTCCGCATGTGTAAGTACCTAAATCTCTTTCGATCTTTGCCTCCTATAATCACACAGGATCATTCAGAGTGGGAGAGGTGTAGCCAGTCCCAATTAGGTTCTGCTGCAGTACACCTGTGCTGATAGAGAGTATACTGACAGGAAAAGAGAGCGCCACAGAGGACTTTATCAGGGTGCTGCTGCTGCTTCATTATACAGTCAGTAGACCGGGGAGTATTTGACACTGTATAACACCAGATCTTGCTGCCGCTGCTATAGCAGGCAAAGTTTTTGCTGTGTTTTTTGAAAGTTACTAATACTTTGGAAGGCAAAACAGTTTCCATATGTGTATTTTAACTGTACATTTAGCTGCTTAACTGATGCTCAGATTTGAAACACCCCCAAACACAATAGAAAGTCAAAGCAGATCCAGAGGAGTGTATTCATGAACATATGCTATATTTCCTTTCAGTTAATGTGAGATCTTCCTGTATTTCCATAGTTTAAGACATCCATTACTGTGAAAAGTAACACTATCCCACACTGTTCAGACTTGCCCACACATGTGAGCAACCCCAAACATGCTTTACTGATGTCATAACAGTTGCTTACTGTTTGGCAAATTGGTGAATCTTTGCTGGAGAGGGAAAAACTACAGAGATCATGGCTCACAGCTTCACCATACAAAACAAATCAAGCTATATTTCTTCATGTATATATTTAACAATATTCCTTTACATAGTGCTATAGCTCATTTTGTACAAATAGGTATTCAGTAAAAACCTTTTTTAATAAAATGGATGCACTAAGATTTAAACAATAGCCTTCCTTGTGCTGATTTCATTTTTATACCCTTCCCACATCCCAATATTTATATAAATGTTCAACCGGCACAATTCCCCTTGCTTGGGATATGTTTATAAATATCTCTCCTTTAAGAGTCACCAGTTGATACTTTGTGCAGCTGGTGGCTTTCAACTGTCTTTGACAACTCTGGTCCCCACTGACAATTGTGAACCAATCATAGTGGTGATAGTGATCACTATGTCCACTATGACATAATGATCACATGCAATCTGGAAGCGTTACTGTAAAAATAATATTCTTCAGGCTGAAGTGGAATCTGCTTTGTCATCTGCTTAATACTGTAATTTTCAAATACAACTATATCACTAGAAAAAAAAAGTAGCAAATGAATTAGAACATAGGAAGACTGTTTTTTAAACATGTTTGCACAATCATAACCCAATAATAATAAAAAAAAAACAGTTTAGGTATGCAAATTAATTTGATTGGAATTGGAAAAATTTGAAAATCTTTGGTGAAACTTGTGTTAAATTATTTATCAATAGACCACTTTTTGTCAAGTTAATTTACTTGGCCTGGACATCTAGACATAAGTTACCTCTGGTTGTGAAAGGGTTAAAAAGGGAGTAATAGAGAACCTAGGTATATTATACATGTTTAAAAATAATTAGAATGTTTTAAGTAATCCCTTTCTTCTTTGCTAGGGACATTGGCTGCGGGAAATTGCATATACACTTTTTCCTGAGTCATAAGGCATCAGCTGACCTCATTCTCTGTAAGAAATTAGTCAAGTTTTTGTATCACAGAAAATTAGCTAATTACGTCTCACATGTGTGATCCCTGTTTTATCCAACCTCCAAAAGGGATCTAAAACAGTAAATGGAGCTCATTTGAAATGTAACACTTTTTTTGTTATATTTTACTAACTAATTACTGTAGGCTGATTTTGATCCCTTGTGACATTTTTCTCATGCTTCATGAAAAAAAAAAATAATTACCTTAATATTTTTCCCTCGGGACACAGTCTGGTTGGGATAGAGATTCTGAGCCTTGGTCTTGTTGGGTTAAGCATGCCTGATTGTGCAAATGCCCAAATCATGTGACTAAAAGCAGAGAAAGTTAATTATGGGGATTCTAAACCTCTCGGGTGTTGACAACATTGCATCATTATTTGAAGTGTAATTACGCTTTATTTAGGATGACTAAAGTGCTTAATTTCTTCCATATAGTGCTAACTAGTAATATGTGTAAAAAAAAATGCTTCAGGCCTAACTGCAAAGAGCTCACGGGTGAACTTAATACATGTCACATAAATGTAAATGGAGATTTGTTTCTTTAGATGCCAATTTAGATTTTTGGCAGAAATCCTTTTTGCCTAATCTTTTTGCCTCTGCCAAAGTAACTTGTACATTGATGGCAGCACCAGAATGTAAACACACTGCTGACTGCTATAGCTCTGGCCACTATATTTCTGCTCCCAGCTGCCACATATGTATTGAAAGTGATTCAGGTAACTGTTACGTTGCCTGATCACTTCTATAGTGTTTATACCATACCACTTTCCTG